GTTACGCGGGTAGGTTCAATCAGACCTGCCTGGGTTACGGAAGACCGTTTGTGGACCATTTGGCGTGTGAGAAATTACTCGGTCTACTGAATCACGCCGAAGATCAGACCGGATGTGTGGCGACAAATCGTTCTGTAATCCCCGCTCCCGCACGCGGCTCGGACGCCCTTCTCTCAACCTTCCATTAGCGGGAAACACACGATACGCATTTAGAGGATGTGTACATCAGAGGCGGTCTCGGGGGATTCGTCAGCACGCGGGGACTGCTGAGAGATGCGCTGTTAAAAGTCGTTTAGGGCCATCATGGACGCGTTAGTTTACCGTATGGGCTATGACCTGATCACTTGAGCAGCAGAGTTAAAAGATATGTCCCGATTGGTTGAATGTTTCACAAAAGTTCAACAAGGCGCAAAAAGGTGTCTGAGAATTTACAACAAAGATTAGCGATGCACACTGAACAGAGTTGTCTGTATCACTCAGAAGAGTAAGCTGACATACGAACAGATTTCAAACCAACTCCATAGAACAAGAATGACCTTGAACACGGCGAGATATGACCCATAAGACCGTGTAGTCAACTTATCTTTGAATGTATTTTCCCAGCAGAGAAGCATTTTCTTCATATTCAGCGTGGCAACCTTTGTCATGTGATGACCATGCGGTGGTGTTGTTAACTAGCTGGATATAGAGCCGAGTGAACATTCACTGTTTTACAGAGTAGCACAGAGCTGCGTCCTAGGTGACCTTGGCTTAGAAGCAGTGTAGCGCACCAGACCCAGAAATAAAGAACGGAAAAGTAAGTTTTTTTTGGCGTAACGGAAAAGTAAGTTTCTATATAAACAATTTTCTTATCTTATGCAACTCCCTTCCTTATATTACAAAGTGTCAAATAACGTTCTTGTACTTCGTATTCTCCGGACATTGCCGATTGTCGCGTCGGGACGAACGTCCGATATCCCGGCCGATAGCGGATGTCTGACCATGTGTCATCCCAAGTGAGACATACATCGGAACACCAGTAAAATGTGTTGGGCGTAAGCATTAATGTAATTCTACCCAACAATAACTCATATCAACGACTCAAGGCACATATGATATAGCAGCAAGGCTTAGACGCGTGCTGATTTGACTTCTTGTTATATTTTAAAGACAATGTATTCAAATGAGTTGTACCATAGAGTTAGAACTCCATGGTTGTACAGGCAATTGAGGAAAACTCAATTATTACTTTGTATGCATGCAAATGTGTACTCTTCCTATATCTTGGCAAGATTTCTAAGTGCTACGCAATAGAAATTTATGGCGGGATCGCTTGTTTCCACGTGTGTCTACCTCAGACGACACAAGAGCCGAAGACGACAGTGATTCAGGGCAATGCTTGGTTGAATTAGTTGAATGGAGGGTCGAGAGGAACACCCTGTGGGACCCCATCACTAAGGTACGTTATGAGAAGCCGGACATTCACACGGGTTAACGTTATTGGAAAAGAACGGTGTGCGGTCCAGAATCAATTTCCTCTCGTCCCGAAAAACAGAGGTTAGGGTCATTATCAAACTTCAATTTTCCTCTCGACTAAACTCGATAATACGCAGAGCCGCTCACAAACTGGCATCGAGCGGACAGATGTTCGTAAAAAGGCTTTACCGCCCATCGTTAGCACGTGCCTGCGAGCACTAAGTGAGCGCTACGGCTGTTCCATTTACAATATTAACGGCTTTGTTCAACATTTTAAACGTAAAAAATGTGGAGACAGGAACTCTTTTAGCTTACAAGTGTATTGTATATGGAGTTACCTACTAAAACACTGTTCACTAAATTTGAAGTGTGCATATTTCACATAGGATGCAATTTTGAATATATGTCCTAGAAAAACATGTTTCTTTCATATTTGTTATACAGTTCACCTGCAAATATGTTATTTCATATCGAAGCAAATAACACTTTTATATCGGCAGGAATATGAAAAGGAGGAAACATGGCCGTAAATAAGGTTTTGCTACATATTCAGTCCGAGTTTCCCCATGTATTTGATGTATTGGATTTCCACTTCAGTACCCCGGACAGGGAGAAACGTGAACAGTTGGCAGACTGACCACATGTGGCCCATAATTCCTCACGCCTGGTGACGTATGGCTGACCTCTGACACGCCTGACATAAACTGAAGGTTATATAGTCTACCCCGTGCGTGTCGGAATTCTTGCCAACAAATCCCGGCTGATTTATATGCACGCGTGGACTCGGAATTGATTTTTATCCACTGTGAGCAGTATGTCTTCTTCCAGTCAATAGCACAGGCTTACACTTCTGTCAATTCGCCGCGTTTTGTCGGAGACCTGGGAAGGGGCGCGGGTGGGGTTGCGTACAGTTTATTTCGACTGTAAAAATGTTTGCTACATTTCTTTTGAAAAATTACAACTAACGCGTTTGATAATAACCTGCGATCTAAATACAGACAGGTTATACAATATTCCACATTCCATTTCACAATGACAAAAAGAATAGCAATTATCAATTTCAGGAATATGTCACTCAGTGATTTGTCAGTCAACAATGGCACACTCGAAACTAACTGAATATCCAAACTTTTAAGAGGTTAGTTGATAGAACATTGTCAACATCATTGGGAGGCTGCTAAATGGTATCGAACATTACATATCTCATCCATAGGTATCGGTTGTTAATTGGGGCTCGCCGTAATCTTATACAAATAAAGGTTGGTGTTTATTTCTCAATTTATACAACACCCAATACAGCACACTTTCTGTTGCAAGTATGTTAGGAACATTTAAATAATCAGTAAACGATCAACAATGTGTCTATATAGTAATCTCCAAGCAGATGTCAGGTTGAAAAGTTTTTACGACACGCAAATATCCACTCGCGGCAGCAGAAAAACGTTCCAATTTCCATCTCAACATCTGCTTGATGATTCCCTATTCAGCACCGTGAGAGGACTACCCGGCATCCCCCTAGCCTCCTGTGCAGGCCTCCGGGTGGGTGGGAGTTTTGATACTGCGTTTTGTACAATATTTAACGCATTCTTTTGCCGGCCATCCTACTACCAGCCGCCCAGAGAATGTTTGTAGGATGGCTGTAGGATAACCTGCAAAAGAACACGTTAAAAATTCTACAAAACGCAGTATCGAAACTCCCACCCGCCCGGAGGCCTGCACAGGAGGCTAGTATCCCCCCGGGCCGGCGTCTCCCGCACACATGTGCACAAATGTGTCCCTCCGAACGAACGTCATGCCTTCGTGCTTCACAATTACTCGCCCGGCGGCACAACAAATTAGCAGCCGCTCCAGCACTCGGGAACATCGCCTGTGCAACTTCCCGCCGTAAACGGCCCTAGCGGCAAATTGGAACTAGTTCTGAGGATGAGCCGACATTTCCCCGGCCTGAATACCGTCCTCAAGTTCAATTTCAGGACGATACCACCGCGGTGCCATCTGGCTAAGGTGTAGTGTTCCGATAGTTATGAGAATTCTAAATGAAGTTTCAAAAGGCGCACGTCAGTGACATTTTGAAGAGCTAATATTGATATATATTCTATTTTAGTTGCGTAAAATATTATGTTTGCAGCTGATCATGTTGGCATTTATATATCTTTCCTTTTCATTGCAGTTTAGAATAATCCTATCTAATTTTCTCAACCTTTACAGTAGCTGTGACTCTCGACCGTCTTACAAAACAGGTGTGTAATTTTCATGTCAAGAAGGATGTAATAAAACAATACAAAGTTAATGTTACGAAGGAATGCGCGCTCGTAAACGTCTAACTCCATCGCTGCAGATGTAATTGAATGTGGTTAAAGCGTAGTCTTCCTGGACTAGATAGCCATCTGTCCGACCCAGTATGGGTGCCTCCACTTGTACATCCAGGCCCGGCCATGCGTCATTGGCGCGTAACCCTGTGATTAGCGGACAGATAAGGACGGTTCGGCCGCGGTAATTGAATTGGTATTGCCGTTTGGAGCAAAAAACGGCCCGCCGTGTTACATAATCAAGGAGGAAAACAGGGAAACGGGAGAGGGCGGCCATTTGTACTGATAAGGTGTCTGGAAACCTTCACCTTACAAAACCACGAATAACCATCGAGCACCGACAACGGCGGAGTCCAGTGTCCGGTTTTCCCACCACAAGTCAGGCAGCTTTAGCTAGAACAGGACCCAGGTCCTTGCTGAGGATGAGTGTAGTCTCTATCAACTTTGGATAACTACGATGGCTGCTGGAAAAATCATTTGCCAGCCGAGTTAACCTTTACGGCAGCACATTTACCTGGCCAATCATTGACCCTACCGAATTTTGCCATCCAAAACCCCTTAGGAAGGTCTGATGGACGCTCGAATGAGTTGCCCACCAGGAGCAAAATATGTTTAGCTACATCAGTTACTAGTTTTACAACAGAACAAGACCATCGCTTTACTCAAAAGTCATGAGCTGTAGTAGAAGTGAGAGAACATAGACCAGTAACCTGTTGTCACCACGTTCACCCCAGTCTTAACTAACTCTTTTTAGCTTTTGGAACTGCCTCGGCTGCGTGTTCCTGGCTCTCAGCTAGCCATGTTCAAACACCATAGAAACAACTTTCACGTTTAGTGTTGGGTCAAATTGTCCTTTACAGTTCCAGGGGAACGAGGAACTGCAGTTAAGTCCAGACTAAGGTTAGGTTAGCTGTAATGTGTGTGACTGGCACAGGTATGCATGACAAACATCATCATGTTAAACCTTTTACCCCGAATCCACCCGGTTCCGCAGAGTGTCCTCCCCGGGATGACCGTTCCGCGGGTCGATACCGCCGTCCTAGCGGTGACCTTGCCGTTGTGAGGCGCGCGGACACGCCGGCGTCAGCGCAGGAGGGATTGACGCAATATCATTACTAAATTTCAGAAAATCTTGAATGCAATTTCCCGCTTGTGCGCGCGCGGACCATCCGATTGGAACTCCCATATCCGGGATGTCGTTTCCAGCTCATGAATATTTATGAGAACGCATCCCCCCGCTCCGCTCCCAAGCTGTGAGGGATTCAGGGTATCAGCGGTCGGTGTAATGCACATCCCGATAGAGAATCGCCTTATAAAATCCATTCCTCAGCAGGTCAGTTCGAATTCTGTGTAATGTTTTGCAGGTGGATGCAATGGTAGGGGGATGACGCGCACAGGCAGCACCACCTTCCCCTCCGCAGCCCCGCGGAGGACAGCGCGAGTTGGGCCGAGGGCAGGCGCTACCCGGCGCCGGTGATTATTTACGAGGAGGGATGGAAGCGGTATCGTTTTGTTCTCGCATCTCACCATGACTAAAAGGTCCAGACGGCATGGCCCGGCACACATGACCAAAATTCGCCTCGACAACATCATCCTGACCAAGCAGAACCGAAACGACACATGCAGACGACTGCTCATCTTCGTTACCATGACAACCGTGGCCGTCACTCTGGGACAAGGATACACACAGTACAAGGAGTATGTGGACTATCACATCAGGTACCGGCTTCTTTGTTCCGACTTCCATGGGGAGGGGGGAGGGGGCCTGCCCACCACTCATAATCGATGTGTGTGAACTGTCAGTGCGGTGTCCTCTGTCTTGACCTTGCGGTCTTATTTAGCATTCACGGCAGCGCCTGTACCCGCCCCCGCGCCACGCTCTCCCCAAAATCTCAACACACACACTCCGGTCCCGGAAACACCCAGGGCAATTCCGTATTTTCAACCTCTCCGTCAAACGGCCGCTCCTTCCTGCCCCCTACGCCAACCAATTCCGGAGTTTAACGATCAGGCAATTTGGACCTAAACTCCTCATTCCAAATCGTGCACTGCCGCCCCGATATCCCAGTACGTGACATTACTGTCCGATGGACGGTATCCAGGCAACGTGTCGACAGCACTCCAGAAATGCACTTCTGGAACAGTTAAGGAGATACGATAACGACAGGATTCAGTTTAAACTTGGCATAGGAACTGCACAGTAGTTATATATGTTGTTACAGGCACCAGTGTCACTCACAAGTCTATGCATGGTATATATGCAATACTGATAGAAGCGGAATAGAATTGATTGCTGTATCCATTGCAATCATAATCTACCCAGCACGCCTACAGATTTGAGCAAACTATGAAGGCCTGTGCCCGACAGCAAACCCAAAAAGCACAAGATATCGTCCAACAGTTAACTGTAAGATTGATTAACAATGTACTGTACATTTGTATTCGCACTAACATGGGCGGACGGCAGTGTTGTCATTGTTGACAGCCGATACTCGCCCTGTGCCCAGAGAAGTCCTGTGGCTTTGGCCGGTCGCCAGACCTGCTGTTGGGCCCGCTCTATTGACAGTTTTGTCTTGACATGCGGAGAGCAAATGTTGGAACGCGACGATCCCAACAAACTATGTATCGGTCTTGTATATCAGAACGCCTGCTGCGACCACCGTAGGGACGGATCTAAAATAAACCCCGTAACATGTTTTTACATCCCCTGCTCAATGAACAGATTCAGTGGTTGCCAAGCCGTCAGCTTATGACATTGAATACTGGTCTCTCTCCAGACCAAGAACACTGGTTACAATTTGAAAGCTAAGAGAGGGAAGGAAGAACAGATCGATGTTAAACCCTTATACATATGAGAAACTTTTATACTGCCGCCGCGCCGCGTGCCTGCGAAGCTGGTGTGTTGCGCCGAAGGGCGGTTATACCGGCTATATATACATATACAGATATAACTACAGGAAGTTATAATTCTCATACACTCCGCTATGATAAAGAACGGGTAAAACCCAGGAACTTTTCTTTCAGATTTGTACATTAATATATGCTACTTAATAACATAGCAGTGATTGTCATATAAATGAAACCGGAAGTCGCAGATGTAATCAAGATAAAAGAATTTACGTCAATGGAATTCTCTCACGACGTCATAAAACTTTAAAGACCATATTCATCATCTAAATTTCATATAAAACTTATACTTTCCTAGTGCCTGCCAGTACGAACAATTAGCGTTGTGATATTAAATCACGTTATCGGCAGAGCGCAGCTGAAAATCGGTGCAAATTGTGTAGCCACGAAAGGAATTGGAGCAGGATAAAATAGCCAGAGAGAGAGACTTGCCTTATTCTATCATGGTTGATTACGGGACGGCATTATTCCCCTGACGAGGAAAATAAAGGCGTGATAAATGTGGTTACGTCAGAATCAGTATTCCTTACGCTGTGTGTGTCACGCCAGGAGGGCCACACAATAGAATTGATATCGACTCGACATTTGCAGAAATGTACGGGCGGCGCCTGCCTTCACTCGCATCTGGAGCTGTGTAGTTCGCAGAAATAGAACTACAGCTTTTCCTTTGGGATGCCTTTCAACTTACAAAGCGTGGTCCGGTACAGTCAAGAGAAACACAAGTTTATGAGAGAGGATAAAATTCAACTGAAAGGTTCGTTTATAGATCAGATCATTGAAGATTCGTACGTAGAATAACCTCACACAGGAACATGAACAGAGTAATATGACGAATGCACAAAAATGCGATGTGCCAAAGGCTTGAAATGTTACTCTTTATGCATGCCTTTTGAAATCGTTAGGGCTGTATTTTTGCGTGAATATATTTTCCATTTTCTACAATTGGACGTGGGGAAAGGTTGGAAGTAACTCATATGACACAGGGGGCGCATTACCCTTTTTATCATTCCCCGGTGTTTCAAACCAACACTCTCAGATAAAGGTGACATTGAAACGTCGCCGCCAAGCTGTAGGTTTTATCCCGACTCGGTACAAAAGAAAAGTCATCTGCAGGCGAGTCTGCCAGGTGCCTGACAAGCTCACCATTAATGTTTAATGCTCCTGGTAGCATACAGTCTACAGATGTTCTTTATATAGCATCATTTTGCAGTTTTATGAGATTTCCGGGAGGTTCGCTGCACGTAAATGCTTTGGATAATTCGAAAAGGACTCACCCTTTGACATGACAGTGCAAATGTAGAGCAGGGCATGTCATTTTTCCTTTCTTCCTAATGTGGTCCTTTCATAGATAGCAATCGATAAGCCACGTGCTCGTACTGACAATACACGTGCGCGTCATTCAGAAATGATAGATGGCAGGATTTGCGATGACAACCTCCTGATAGAAAAAAAAACGCACGCTATTAAAACATCTGGGCATTGATCTGAAACAGAGGATGTCTCTTTTTGATTTGTACTGTCGCCAGTGTACGTTTTAAAGCTTTATCATTGGAGGAAGACTTGTATCCAATTTTCCGATAAATGCTTGATGCCTGTCTCTGCAAAAGAAGCCATAATTATCATACAAAAAATGGCAGTATATCATTACGACGTTGGCCTCTCCGTCCGGGACTCGGTAACAAAAAGCACCGCCATTACAGCGTAATTACACGTATGAAGCTGTTCGATGTTGATGGATTATGGGTTGCTTGTCCTCTGAATGAAAACCCCATTCCTCCGACAGGGATGATGAATCAGTGCTCATTGCGGCATCGGGAGGAAGCCGCCCAGTACTCGGGACAGACAACAGCTTCCAAACCTGTACCACTAGTCTGTTCTGAGGGTATGATATACACACTGGTCCATCCTGGTCAAATTACGTCCGGTCCGACTTGCGTGGTGGTAGCGAAAATAGAAGGCAAACTAAAGCCCCGGTCACATACTAGTACGTTGTACGATCGCGAGGGGGTTTCAGCACCGTGAATTTGAGGAGAGATGGGTGAAATATTTTAAAAAGTAAACTATCGCACCCCGATCTTCTGAAATCTTAGACGTGCAGAACAATCGCCTAGCTAGGGAAAAGATCGTAAGCGCATCGCATGATCGCAAGCGCATCATATATGTAACAGGATGGCACCCGGGCTTGCACAGATATGGGTCAGCTAAACATCAGGCCACATACCCGAAATACACAATGTGAAAGTGAGAGAAGTTTTGATGGAAAATGGAGCACCTGCGAACATCATGCTACTTCAGATGTGGTTTCGGCATGCAGTTGATGACTTGCAATTTATAGATTTAAGATTGTTTAAAAGTCGCCCTTTGCAATTAAAACCCGTGCATTGCAAGTTAGCAGGGTACTCTAACCTAGATCACTCGTGGCTTGCAAGAAGAGTTGGCGTTAAATTTAAGCGCTAAGAAATAGCAGGGAAAACAATGGCTTAGGGAATCCTTAGGTATTTGCAGGAAGTTTTAGTCCGAATTGCAGGTAAGATTTCTGACTCCTGCTAATGTTACAGAAAAGAAGGTTTTCTCGGCCTGATTTGTGATATTGGGCAGAGGAAACGCCGCCTACGGAGCGAACTAAGCGCTGATTAGGGTAAAATCGATAGGCACTGATTAATACATGACCATTTTCTGGTTCAGCCGGCCCGATTGACCCAGCAGCCGCTCCGGCATTGCGCAGGGAAGCACACGCTAATACGCACAATGTCATATCTACGTATGAAGTGGCATTTGAAATGTATGATTGGTTCGTGGGTTTGGACCACTGTCACACAAACGCTGAGACCACGGCGTTACGACTACATGTAGGTCCGGGCATTACGTGAATCATAGATGTGCTCGTAAAGTGGAACGGCGAGCCTTTGTGCATCCCTGCGTAGCGGCGGCCCAATTCCGATACGCATATGAGGAGCAGATGGTAGGCTATCAAGTTCGCCGATAAATATGCGCGGTGCGTCTGTTTGTCTGTTGTGCGCGTTGGAAAGCATCACACAATGATCTAACGGAGCCAACAGGCAACTCAGAAGGGTTTAACCCCCATTACGTGACAAAACAGTACTTTGACAAGAAACACAAATAGAATATACGATTTTCCCCCAAGACTTCAGACCCCTGCGGGCCTCTCGTGATCGGGTATCTGTAGGGTACCGGTAGCCTGGCCAAACCTGCGGAGATTCCCTCCCGGGCCCCAGGGCATCTCACGTATGTGTCCCAAATTGTTCCTAAGTACTGAATGATAGATATTGGAAAAACATAGTGAAGGACCTGTCAAAATTTTAAAAATCCTGCGCATTAAAAAGAATTGTTGGAAGTTTACAAGTATGTTACAGCGTAAAGAAACACAATTTTGATCTTTGACAAGGCCTAATCATTGAACCCCTAAGGTCCTAGCTACCTACCGCCCATCATTTATGTCGATCGCGTTCCTCTGCTCTAAGCTGTGCGACTGAATCTTGTATCATATACACAAAACATACTAAGTACAAAGTTGTCCTCCCCCTCACACGAGCCCAACTGTCCGTCAGAGAGGTTTGATAAACACCGCTCCGTACTGTCTTACCCTGTAACCGCGCATTTTCCCGCTCTTTCTGAGCAGAACTCGCGCCGCCCTGCCCTGTTCTACCCTGCCCTTGATCAGGGACGTAATCCATTATGGCGTCTCGTTAAGATACTGGCCAACAAGCGGAAGAGCCCGGATGATAACGGCCCTTATCTCCTCCCGAACATGCCGCCGGTGTGGTCCGTGTACGCGCTGCTTACAGACCCAACATTCTCTCTTGACTTTTTAACGCTGCGGTTTTTGTAGAACCTGTCGTGATGTTTTTTTTTACCTTTTCTACCGTTTTGTGAACCTGAATATAGAAAAAAGTGCCAGCCCTGTACGTGTAGTATCATTGGATCATTTTCAGAATATGGAATAATCATTCAACCACGCAATCATTGCACTTTATTGAAGATATACGCTCAAACAATATTTGGCTGGAACAGAAAAGAAAAATCGGCGCCGACATTTTACTATCATTCGTCCCTTATGTAGATTTCCACTCGACTATAATCCCAGTACATCCACCATACCCCATGAAATAGTGTACAGGATTACATGCTTGATTGCCCCATCCTGTTTATATGCATGGTAAAATTGATGTTGGATTATCTAATCTAACTACAGTCGATCAGTCTTAATCATTGCTACATAATGGAACTTAATATTAAACAGATTGATGACAGACTCTGCCGAGCGTGACGTAAATATACGTGCAGTCTGGAGTGTAGGATCAAAATTAGAAATAAAGTCATTTTGGACAACGTATGGACCTTTGTTTAACTCTTTTTCGCCCATATCGCCCATATGCACCCAGTTTAGATATATAGTGCTGTATTTCTATAGGTCGGTAGAAACACGGTGTACCGAATTCGACTGTAGGTCATTGTGTGCGGCACATGGGGTATTAGTGTACATGAGTTTTTTTTTTTTATATCGATTCTAAAACAGGTGTAAGATCTAGTTGCCAGCATAGACGGGGATTCTAGATCGTAATTCACAGCTGTTTACACCACGCAGTTGTTTGCTGAGGAGTGTTGACAAGTCGCAGTTGGTAGTCAGATTCCTTACTGTGACTCGCGGGCAAGCTGCCAGTGATAGTGAGTAAACAGGATGGGGAAGGCATGTGCAGGCTGGCATTGCAATTGCTCCGATCGACATTTGACTGACTTGTTTCACGGGGACAGACCCTTTCTTTGTTTTCCTCTGAGCTGCAAACACACACTGCGAGTAAATCACTGTGTTATTACGACGAAGCAATCAAAACTAGATAGATAAAAAACCGATAGATAAATACAAGCTAGAAAGCGCCCTGCGCTTGACCATCAGTACTCAAGTCAGGCAAGAATGTATAGCTTTGTATTGCAGATTTTTTTAATAACAAAAATGATCGAAAGAATATTCCACTCCTAATATATAGGATGTGTGGTAAATCAATTACTAGTACCAAGATGTAATGGTAATGCTGATCGCTGTTGTGCCGTTGTGCCCTGATCAGCTGAGGGATTCACCATTGATAAATGCTTCGTTTTTTTTGCACGTCAATGTTGTACTAGTATTTGCCTTGAGTTGTGTCTGGCGCCGACCGTGCATGCTGATGGTTGTGTGTACGTGTGTGCTCATGCAGCATGTGCTTCTCTGTGGTCAGGAACACCATGTACGGCACCAAGTCCCTCCTCACCACCGGGAACTGGACATACCCCGCCCTCCCCACCGAGGAGCCCTGGACGCTAGACGAGGAGGCCGCAGCGAACTTCAGGTGGGCTTGTCTTTTCATGAATGGTGATTTATCATCTGTTTTGGGCAGCGTTTGCATGTATGTGTGTTTGTTTGTTTGTTTGTTTTTATGTATGTGGTTTATCACGATAACTTCAAGAAGCCTTGGATGGATTGCCATGAAACTTGGTATATGTGTAGGTCTTGGTTAGACCTCAAAATGATTAGATTTTTGGCTCCCTAGCGGCTTGTTGTACTGTGTTTTCATAATATTCCTATTGGTTAATTCACTTATTTACCTAATATATTTCTGTTGTTTAATTGATTTATTTGAATTGTTAAGAGAGTCCTTTATTATATTTGCATATATTTGTTGAGCTTTCGGCAAGGGATTATTATACATTTGTATTTGCATACATGTTTTGAGCTTTCGGCCTCCCTTGTATTGTTGTTTCATTTATACTTACTTGTTTGCGTATTTTTTTATTGTTTAAAGTATAAAGAGTAAACTAAAAACATTGTAAAAATTATTTGTATTGGCTCTTCTAAGTTTTGATCAAAATTTCTTCTTGTGATAAATAAGTATTTTGTTTTCAATGACTAATGTACGTATGATACAACAGAATGCATATTGTTTCAACACAGGGAAGAGTTGGAACAGGAGTGTCACATCAAGCGGGACATCTCCCTCACCAAGAGCTCGGCCAAAGTGGGGAAGAAGATCGTGTATGACGTGGAGCCGCAGCATTACGTCACGCTGGCTGGACCAATGTACGTCCTGCTGCCCGAAACGTCACCGTTCGACGGGAAGTTCTACAACACATGCGCAGTAGTGGGGAATGGCGGTATACTCAGGTAAGTGTCATGTCAGGGGTCATACTACACTGTCGTTTAATTGGTTGGTTGGATGGTTGGTTGGTTGGTTGGTTGGTTGGTTGGTTGGTTGGTTGGTTGGTTGGTTGGTTGGTAATTACGCCATTTTTCACGTTCATACGTCAATGTCAGGTGCATTTAGTATCGTACGGTTGATGATGTCACGTACGTCTTGTTTCTCCTCAGGGATAGCAAATGCGGAAGCGAGATCGACACTGCCGACTTCGTGTTTCGCTGTAATCTCGCGCCGATCTCGCGATACCACGAGGACGTGGGGACCCGTACGAACTTCACTACCATGAACCCTAGCGTCCTCAAGACGTACTACAACCGCGTCAACTCTGAAAACAGCAGGAGAAGGTTCATCAACCGACTGCAGGAGATCGGGGACGGCTTTCTGTGGATCCCCGCCTTCGTGTCCAAGATGGGAGAGCGGGAAGTGAACTTGTTAAATTCCATTCTCATGGGAGAGAGGTTGAACGGACTGCCTTTGCAGCCATTGTATCCGACTAAAGAGGTCACCAGGGCAATCTTCAAGTAAGTCCTTTTAAGACAACATCTTACAGAAGTGAACATTAACTACCCGTTCTATAGACTTCTGGTTTCATATTGTGAACTGTGACTTTCCGCCACACAGAATAAAAGAGGAATGATGTTTACAGAACGGAAAGTTCGGTAACACCTGATCAAATGTTTGCGAAGTTTTGTATATTTCTGTCGAAAATGTCCAGGCGATTTTGTTCACTTAAGTCAGCTAATAATGTCGGCGGACTTGTTTCATGTTTCGCAGGTTCTGGAACACTCGCAAGCTGGAAGTGCCTCGCCTCACGACTGGCCTATGCATGTACACCATCGCAGCCTCTGTGTGCCGCCAGGTGGCGCTTTACGGTTTCTACCCCTCCAACCACGACAGAGAGGGCAACCGCCTGCCCTACCACTACTACGAGAGGAGGAGCCGCTACAACTTTGAACAAGGGCCACACAAGATGTACAACGAGTATAAAGCACTGAAGTCGCTACATGACAAGGGGATCGTTAGATTGCGAGAACGTTGCAAGCCTCTCCCTTCCTACGTCTATGCAATGCGAAACAACCCCCATTACAGGGATGACAGGGGTCGATAGGGAAAAAGTCGCCCGATGATAACACAGTACATCCGGTATGTTCACGTAATGTTAAATCCATAGGCAACAACTTACCCATCAGATTGTCGCCTAGTTTTTCCTTGATTATAAAAGTAAGCGGATGGCGTATACAATTGTTGTCTCCGAGTATCGTTTACGATATCAGCGAAGTGTATCATTTCAGTACGAAGTGGGTGAACATTCCGCATGTGCAGTGGTTAACTAACAGTCATGTGATCGCCCTGTGTTCAACTCTTTCCAGCCACACGCTACAGCATAGAACTATCCACTACCATAAGGCAAGGCATTATCAACTATCCTTCATAAGTTTTGTTGTCCATCAAACCCAAATGCAGCACTAAAAACTTAGAAAAGGTGAATCGCTTGCCAAAGTGACAGCGTACAAAACATCCTTCCACGATTTTCGTAGCTAACTAGTTCCTCGTCCCTGTGCAATCCACAACTCTTCTAGGCACAGATTTCAAAGACGCTTCTTCTTTTACAATAGTATATATTCTACACCCAGTCGTGTGCCACGGATTGTATCACAGGAGGCTCATAATGATGATGAAAAACTGATGGTGTCACCAGTGGTATATATAGGTAAGACATCGTAACTAGATTCTTCCAGCAGTGTCCAAGCAGCGTAAATAGTGACCTCTCTCTCACGGGAATGGATACATGGGTAGCGCGCAATGTTGACATGATGTTCTCTACTCTAAACACGACTCACGGGAATATATACATTGCATAATCGCAATTCCAGACAGACAACAGTAGTTGGTACAACATACAAGTTCACGTCGCTTCTAATTGAAGTGTTTACCGGTCTTAGATACCCATTGAAGAAGAGACCTACCGGTAGTATTACTCAGGTGCTGCGCTTCCTGTTGCCATTGATAGGGGGCAGTTGACTCTTGTTTATTGCTTCACATTTGCTGCTGTCACAAGTCCCGAAGTATTTAAACCTCATTCACACATTGCAAATAGATTAGAGTGTGGAATGGGAAGTCCACTCTCGTTGAAAATAGCTGCATATGAGTAAAGATTATAATGCCGTACGATCCATGCATTGTTTGAGAAAAAGGCACCTGCAAAGGTCGATATATACATTCAGCTACATGATCATGGAAATGGCGAAGTAGTAATCAGGTGCCGCAGTTTACAAATACACGAGGAAAACTTTCTAGTGAAAATGTCTGAACCACAAACACAAGTCACGTAGCTCTATGCAACTCCCGTAAGATTGCCTTGGACGTGCTAAATTGCTAGTCAGGTTTTGAAAATCTACACGTACAATATACCATTCATTCTTGACTTAAACATGTTCAAGGACGTGCTACTATAGAGAGGAAGGTTAGCAAGAACAGTGGAAGGAACCTACCATGCATTTTCAGTGATGACTGGAGCTCAGAGATACATGTATGCACAGCGTAGCGTGTCCCACAGCCCTCACGAGGGCAAGTGCAAAGTACATTAGTGAACGAAAGGCGGTTCTCAGTCGCACTCCCAATCCGGGTACGTTTTCAAGGTTCCTTTCTTTCCTGACTTGATTCTGTCCATGGATGAAGTCAGTCGCCCAGGTATCGCGTAATCCGCAAACATATGGGGTTCTTATAGCATTGTACACATGCTGGTGTTGCACAAAGTACTAGTCAGGGCGCGAAGGCGAAATTTAGCAAGTGATTATAGAAAAAGATGAGTGTTGGGTTCCCAGAGTGTTCAGTAAGACCGTGTGATGTCACACCGCTTAACAACACGTGAACTACATTCTACCATCATTTCCGTCTCTAGCTTTGGTCAAATAGATGCTGTCGAGGCATCGTTGGAAAAAATGGTAGCCATAGAGGGTAAACATAGAAAACAGCGCTGCTGGTAGTTAGATCCCTATCTTACCTCAACAGGTAGTTAGACAACTGTATGACCAAGAAGATATGCAGTCAGTAAGAATGCCATGTAGAAATTTTAGCTTTAAGCGTACACATGTAGTGATCTATGATGCGTACACATGTAGCGATAAAGTTAAATGGAAAGCTTAGGACTTGTTTTATTACTAAATGTCTTATCTTAATGAAAAGAATACATAGTTCTCTTAGTATACTTAGATCACCTTATAGTAAAGGCTTGAATTGTATTTTTTAAAGTGAATTACGAGAGTTGTGATAGGAGAGTGAAAAATCCTCTACACAAAACTACTAACGTATATTTGCTTGTATTCTCCGTAGTAAATAATAGAGCATAGGGATTTCTTGTTTGTGTTGTGCATGTTTTGCTGTAAGAAATAAATGGTGCGATCGGAGTTAGATGTTCCTTGTGTAGATTTTAGAGCACTAAGGTGATTAGTTAGTTGACAATACTAGTAATCAACAAAGAAAATAAACAATCTACCTGAGGTTTTGCAGTGTGAATGTGGTATCTTTGTGTGTGTAGATAGTATAACCGTCCTTAGGCGTAACACAACAGCATCGCAGGGACGCCGCACAGCGGAAGCGGGCTGTATGGAATACTCAAGTACAAGTTATGACTATAGGTAGGTGGAGCCAGACTGGACCAGGAGTAGGCAAAACACCAACAGAACAGCATACTATCACCAAGGACAGGTAAAACATACAAAAAGGTCGATCATTGTAAACCTGAATGGAACCCTTCAACACCAAGGACAGGGAAACATCTGCAAACCACTTGATCAGTGTAACAGGTTCGTTGAAATAACAGATCGCCAAGAGACGGCATGTAGTCTCAGGTGAGTCTTTTTTATTCCCAGATCCATGACGTACCCTCATACACGTCTACTCATTCTCCAGATGTAACACAAGAATTTCTACCCTCTCACTCTAGCCCCACTCTCCGGGGTACAACCATTGATACCTACATTGGGTCACTTCTGCATGCAACAATCAGCACCAAGGACAGGGAAACATCAGCAAACCACTTAATCTGCACCAAGGAGAGGGAAACATCAGCAAACCACTTAATCAGCACCAAGGAGAGGGAAACATCAGCAAACCACTTAATCGGCACCAAGGAGAGGGAAACATCAGCAAACCACTTAATCAGCACCAAGGAGAGGGAAACATCAGCAAACCACTTAATCAGCACCAAGGATAGGGAAACATCAGCAAACCACTTAATCAGCACTAAGGAGAGGGAAACATCAGCAAACCACTTAATCGGCACCAAGGAGAGGGAAACATCAGCAAACCACTTAAATCACACAAAGAACAGGGAGGCATCAGTAAATCACTTAATCATCACCAAACATTGGGTCAACAATTGTTAGCAAACTGTAAAATATTCACATTAGCCCAAAACATATTTTTGTGCATTTATGTATACCTTTGCAAATCCCCTTGATCTAACATTGAGCCATCTATTCAAACCTATTCCCTTTACAGTGATGACATAACAGACATGTAATAATGTATTTGAAGCTGGACATTTCTCCACAACTAAGGCACCATCACCCCAGAATTACTTCTAGTTCTGTCATAGGTTGTTAAAATTGAAGCAGGCACAACATTTCTTCTGTTTGCTAGAAGTTAGAATTAGTCAGATTCCGTGGTTCTTCCCCACCACTGGAGCTGTCCTGAAAGGCTGACTGCAGTTGTATCCTGGGTAAGGACGGTGGATCATCCCCATCTTCTGTTGATGAACTGTCTGTCAATGCAGAGGTGGAAAAATACAGATGAAGTTGGGGAACTTTTTGTGGCTTACAAACCCACCACCTTTTTTGTGCACCCACAACCATCCAGTGCAAAAGTTAAACTTGAACCTCAATCTATGATTGTTAACTTTGATGTCTGAAATATAAGAGACAGTCAGACACTATAACGTTATAAAATAAATGTAACTTAGTAGGGGAACTTTTGATGGCTTACAAACCCACCTCCTTTATTTTGCACCCACAACCATTCAGTGCAAAAGTTAAATTTGAACCTCGATCTGTGATTGTTAACTTTGGTGTTAATGTGATGTCTGAAATATAACAAATAGACCCCATAATGTGGCACTATAAATTAAGTAACTTGAGTGCAATGTCACATCTTCCGTGTTTTTGTCAACTGTTAATAAAAAACATATAAAACAATAGATTAGAGACTCCATACCTCCATGACAAATTAAGTGCATTTGACATTTTTTCAATAACCATCACGTGCCAAAATACATCTACTTATATAATTACCATCCTTTTCCTTGCAAGGTTAGGTATTTTTCCCACACGAGTAGACAAATGTTGTCCAAGCCTGATTCTCTTTCCCATGATACAACATACCAAGTACACAGTTAATGATGATGATGATGATGACACAGTTAATATACAAACAGTTACATACACACAGTTAAGAGACAAACATGAACTCAAACCCACGTCCAGGCTATGACCTACCATCAGAGACAACTCTTGGGTTCACAGGCAATGCAAAGTCTACATCTGCATAATGAAAGATAAAACCCATATTAAAGCCTTACCACAGCACAGACGTTACAGCTAAGAAACGTGATACAACAGACACCATTTCCATTTCAGTGACCTGCAATCCAACTAATACTACATCAATCTGTCAGAAAAAGGGGTGTAAGATTTAAAAAAAAATACAGATCTACGAGAACCTGCTAATGCATGCTAAAACACAAAGGCTCACGTGCCTACCCACTGACCAAACAAAAACACCAAAAGGCCACATCAAACAGCTAGGGGGCCAAAATTTACACCACTCACTCACTATCAAAGCTTTGACTATACCATCTCCAGACCCATCAACCGAGACAGTGATGAGCCAAGGCCATTGGTCATCCTCGACCACCAGGGACGAACAAGAAAAGATACTGTTGCCGGTGTCCCTGACACAGGGGTAGGCAGCAGCACTAAACCCTTAATATTGCAACAACTACAGATGCACAGAACATCCAGGCCCAATGATATTTTTAAAATTTCCTACTGCAGTACCAAGTTCAATCACCAGGTGCCCAAAATCAACCTACACACCTGCAAAATACACGCAATCCATCCAGGGGATCTTGAAGTATACCCCCACACATCATCCAGACCATTTTTCATGGAGGTAACTTGAGGTTTGTCATGTGTTATTACTCCGTGAAGGAGGTCAGGACCTCCGGACGGAGTGTTGTAATCGGCTGATTTTTCATGTTCGCAGTCAAAACACTGGGTTCTCTTTGTGTAATCGGCACGCAATTTTATACGCCGTCTGCGGGCATGCCCGTGTTGATGCACGAATGTGTATTTTTGCCGTTGCTGCTTTCGCGGTCAATGTAATATCGCAGACGCACCCCTACAATTACGAGGCGAATTGGAATGGTCCAGAAAAACGCGTTGTTTGGAATAGCAGTGGGGTTCAAAAAAGTTCATGCAGATACGGGGTGGTTTTTATAAGTGGTTCCAGATGTTTTTGCCCATGGTTAAGAGATGCCAAGTTTTTTGGAAGATGTTCGCAGCCAAAACGCATTCTTCCGTACGTCGCATTTCTGTGTAATTTCGCATGTGGTGTTGCATTATGTCCGGGATGATGCACGTCTTTTTATTTTTACCGTAGCTGTTTTGATATTGGAGTAAATGCTTATTTTCGAAACATCCCCATTTCTTTGAAATGGTTTCGTCCGTTTATGCAACTGTTACTGCGCTAATGACGACCAGTCGCGCTGTCCTGATACACCGCGAATGTGCGAGTGTTCCCTGTAGACAGTCCCGGGAGTCATTTTTTTCGCACATTCCAGGAGCCAAACCAAAATACGTTCATGAACCGAGTCCAAAAAACCGAAACGTGAAAATCGGATGATCGGACCTGATGTACATTTCTCTTTCTATAGATTGTACACACAATACACACATCTTTAGATAATCTGGCCATGGCAGGTTAAAAAAAAAGTAACCCTGAATCATACTAGATTAGCGTAAATGCATGTTAATGCGTTCAAAACAAGAAAAAAATTGTTTCCGGGTATTAATCTCTTGAATCACGGCGCTGAATATTGACGCAAAAATATTTCGGGCATCGCGCGCCCTTCCCGCGTCACGTGTAGGCATCTCGCATCTCTGATTGGTTGTTGCGTCTTAAGATGACTGAGCCGACGCGCGTTTAAACAATTTTTCTTTGTTCGATTTATCACACTTCACAGAGAATTGTCGCCAATGGCTACTTCTTTTTGTTGCAATATATAATACTTCACGGAGAATTGTCGCCTATGGCTTCTTGTTTTATTTGGGTTGGTTTTTCTATAGTACTTGCTTCTACCATGTGCCATGTAATGTATTTGTGCAGATTGCTTTGGCTCAAATTGACCTATTAGGGTGCGTTACCACACACTCCTGGTGTGTTACCATTTGTTGGCTGATGGCATAACCTACTAATCCTTGACCTAGAATCCTGGACAAACCACTACTAGTATACAGACATACCAAACCCAAAACTGTTGTTGAATTTCATGTTTGTCTTTTTCACAAAAAAAGAGTCAAACAAAACTAAAATCATTATGATTCCTAAGGGGAACTTGGGTTAAGTACAGTACAAATGTAGTGTGCAGCTTTAGCTGTAGTAATTGGATATGACATAAAATATCACAAAGTCACATGAATGAACAATCAAGCAACTGATCAAACACTACAGTGTTGTAATCTTCACCTTGCTATGGTGACAAGCAGTCCATAGGACCTATTTGATCAATAGGTTTCCCTATTAAGAATTAGCATTTTTCATATACAGCTAAATCTGAGAAGAAACATCATATTTACATAATGGTTAGGTACTCATAAAAGATATCTTGATCTTGATTAGCAAAATATTATGATTTATAGAAAGTAGCAAAGTATATTTTGTCTCATAGATATTTGCTATTTGCTTCTTAGTGGACACAGAAAAGTGCTCATTTTACAAGGCATCAATCCACTACAAAACCCTTGTCCTCAATTCTGGAACACATGCTGTTCTGATCATATTTTTTCCAAACAACTCCTACTGGGGGATTCCACTACTGTGCTATTTGACACATGCACCACAATCATCTTTCTCTCCTGCTCATGGATTATCATCATCACTAAATCCCATTGTTCTTTCTACACAAGGACTACACCAGTCTTATGGTGGTTGTGTCTTCAACATTACAGATAACACAAATCTTTCTTTGTTACCAGCCATGATACATCCCCAATGGATTGCCTTCAGAACTCATGAAGAGTTGAAACACCTCACAGAATTACACCATTGCTAGCAGCAGTAGCTAAGGCACCATTATCATTAATTCAAAACATTGTTGTGAGTAATCAATGTTCCTGACTGGCAGTGACTGCCAAAGCTGCAAGCAGACAGTCAGAAAACTCTCTTATTTTGTTGCACACGCCCCTTTTACCCTGCAGGAAAATGACTGAACAACTTGCTCAGTCTCTGTTAAGATAGAGATGAAGAAAGTGTCCCAGCACTTAAACTGGCTCTGAAGTATTGGTTGAGATAAATTAAGATGATATTCTAATGTGCTCTTTTTTTGTAGCGTGGTGAGGTAAATGCACCCTCTTCTGAAATATTGCTGCATTTTTATGGCTTTCCTGTTTTCACAGAACTAGTATTCATCAAAACGATACCATTGTCATGATCACATAATAGGCTCGTGTAATAAAAGAAATTTTTTTTGCCATCCTGGACATCTTGTATTACACAATACACATTTGAGAGCAAGCATCGGCCTAGCTAGGCATATCAATCTGAAATCCACCCTTCTCAGCTGTAATCCACTGGTAAGTTACCAGCCAATCACTTTGCTACTTGAGACTAACAGACAACACAATTGGCTGGTAATTTTCCCCAGGAACAAAATCTGAGAGGAGAATCTGATTGGCTGGCCGTTGGCCTGCACTAATGCTGTCAGAATGACAGGTTGAGAGGCCAGGGCCAATGCTTGCTATTTCGTATGAGGTAATACAAGTTGCATGTCTGGCAGGACAGGATGGGATGATGGTAACTCCCGGATGTTGACTAGACAGCTGTCTCATGATTGTCTCTACCTGAGGAGGATATATTGTTCTGTAGAACCTCGCCCGTGTCACTGGAGACATCCAGATGGTCTGAGGACAGTTCTGTCATCAGGATGGGCTGGTGGACGTCTCCGTCTTCTGTTGAGGCACCTGTGAAAGACACTGAGAAGTTATGGATAGAACACAGCAATGGGTGCCTCCCTTGCATGCATGCAATTGGGTGATATTGTTACATACTATGGGACCTTTGTGAAAAAGTTTGGATTCAGAATTGTTATAATACTTCATGAGTTTGACCTTTGACAGCATACATCGGCCCACAACAAGGAGAGATTTGAACATCATAACGGGGAAATAATGAGGGTGGGGTACAGAAAGAACAACTGTTGTGTGAGAAATTGGTACCAGTATGTTCAGAAAAATCTGAGAACACGAGATTGTGGACAAATGACCAAAATCATCCAGTAGAAATACAATAAG